GCCTTAGTAATGGCAGTCAGAACCCACATTCTTCCCTTTCATGGGTGTTAAACTGCTGGCCCACAGGGCCGGATTGGTCACATACAGGCCATGCCCACCCCAGCTCCGCGAATGGAGAAGATTCCCTGAAACGTCACGTGATGGCAATGTGACATGGCGAGTTTGACCTTCGTGCCTTACTTTTAGCGTTAGGCAAAAAATGAAAAACAGAAATAAGGTGCACTGAGCAATGCACACACGTCTGCAGGGCTGGGTATTAATCTGTATATAAATTTTAAAAAATATGCATTAAAACTTTGGGAATGTTTTCTTTCCGCTTTAATTTCCATGTGATCATTTGTCATATGTTGCTGTCCTCAGTTCTTCATGAGCATCCTGAGTACATGGTGGGAACCATTTAGTACAGAATATTTAAGATAATTTTTTTGAGAAGAATTATGGTTGTTATTCAGATTCCGCTGCCTACACCTCTCAAAAGTAGTTTTTCTCCAATTGCCCAGGGCAGTTGAGCATGCTTATTCCCATTCTAGGGTATGCTTTGGTGGTGGCACAATAGGAATTATATCATAGGCCGTTTATCTTTTGTTTTATGCTACTACAAGATACACCACGGTTAAGCAACTCATCCGGTTGTTAAGCAAATCCATCTTCCCCCGTTGACTTTGCTTGTCAGAAGCTGGCTGGGAAGGTCACAGATGGTAATCACATGACTCCGGGATGCTACAATTTTTGTAAATACATGCCAAGCACCCAAAGTTTGCTCGTGTGTCGGTGAGGATGCTGCAACGATCCAAAGGGCAAGTACTGGTTATATACCAATCTTTTCAGTGCCACTGTATCTTTGAAAAGTTTCTAAATGAATGGTTGTAAGAATGGTTGTAAGTTGAGGACCACCAACCTGCCTTCCATTGTGGATCTGTATACTGCACGAGTCAAAAAGAGGGCTGTCTTTTATCTACAGAATATTTACGGACCCCTCGCATCCTGGACATAAATGGTTTCAACTTCTACCCTCAAAATGACCCTATAGAGCACTGCACACCAGAACAACTAGACACAAGGACAGTTTTTTCCTGAATGCCATCACTCTGCTTAACAACTAATTCCCACAACGCTGTCAAATAATTTACAAAGGCTGTATTATTCTTCCTTACTAGTATCTATCTCTTCCCACTAATTTGCTTTTATCTTTCAATTTAAATTGTTTTTGTTTCCTAGTACAATTTGATAAGCTTATTAGTAACCTTGACTAAGTGTTGTATCTTTTTATTTTTGATGAATGTATTCTCCTTATGTACACTGAGAGCATATACACCAAAGACAAATTCCTTGTGTGTCCAATCACTCTTGGCCAATAAAGAATTCTATTCTATTCTATTCTATTCTATTCTATTCTATTCTATTCTATTCTATTCTATTCTATTCTATTCTATTCTATTCTATTCTGCAACAGTAAATTTTTCATCAAATCCTTGATATCTACACAACATTTAGAAAGAATAAATTAATTAAGCACATGCTCGGATAATAAGAGGGTGCCCTATGTTATTTTACAGTGGTTGTTTGTATGATAGGATCGGCTCCTTGTCCCCTGCTGTCTTGGTGAGAGAGCAGGTCTTTCTCTCTTGGTGCATTTTAATGCATTTTATCAAATGACAGCCAACCTCAGGAAATTGTGGGTGCTTCATCACCGGAGGTTTACCAGAAGAGTTTGGATAGCCATTTGCCTGGAATGATATAGGGCAATGATGGCTAACCTTTTCCAGACCGAGTGCCCAATGCGCATGTGTGCGCCCGAACCCCCAAAATACAATGCACGCACGGTTCCCGCACGTGTCCTGCCCCCTGTGCATGTGCAAATGGGCCCTGTGCGCCCCACCCCCTGCGCATGTGCAGCAGAGACCTGAAGACCAGCTGGCTGGCGGGAGGTGCGCATCCATGCACAGCGGAGCTGAACTGGGGTGACAGCTTGCGTGCCATCAGAGAGGGTGCTGTGTGCCACCTCTGGCACGCGTGCCATAGGTTCGCCATCATGGGTATAGGGCAGGGATTGTCCAACGTTGGCAATTTTAAGACCTGTGGACTTCCAACTCCCAGAACTCCCCAGCCAGCATAGGGTCTCCTGCTTGAGCAGCGGGTTGGCCTAGAAGACCTCCGAGGTCCCTTTCCAACCTGATTCTTATATGTTTTAATTTTCCCTCAGTCTTCATCGATCTCTCCCTTGGTTCAGGAAAATCGAAAGTGGGAACTGTTTTTGTTGTGGCCCGCCAGCGTCCTGCGCGGATCGTGGCTGATCCCGATGAGGAGGAGGCTGGTGTGGTGTCGCGCCAGCAGCCTGCGCAGCCGGCGCTCGTGTCGGACAGCGAGGAGGCCAAAGAGGATGTGGTGCCAGAGGCAGAGACTCAGCCAGGGCCTTCAGAACCTCCAGAGGCTCCTTCAGGTGGAGAGGGTGAAGTGGAGGAGCCTCTCCTCAATGCTCGGGCACGCAGGGCTGCCAAAAGGCAGGAGTGGCTACTCAGGAGGAGGAGGTCTCCTCAAGAGTAAGGTTTGAGGATAATTGGCCACTCCCTTAGCCTATTTAAGTCACACGCAGTTAGTAATTTCTTGCTGGAAACAACATGTAATTATTACAGAGCATTTTGGAGAGTGAGTGTCTTATTGTATCTTGTTTTCTGGGCTGGTTGCCAACCTTTGTCGGACTTTGTTCTTAATAACTTTGATAAGGACCCTTTGCACGGGAAGCCCGCATTCTTGAAAGGGGTTTGTTTGGAATTAAACAGTGTTTGCGAAGCTTGGTGTGTGTCACATTCTCTGGGAATCCGAAGCTGGGGCAGAACAGTTTTAAGGCAAATGTAAACATTGCTAAGACAAGTTGTTTAAAATGGATTTAAAATGGCTTTGGGGGAGGGCCACCTCCCCACCCCCACTTCAGCTACAGCATTGTTCTGTCCCATTAATCCCCGTTGCCACGTGGAGCCAATTCTTCCTTCTCTGCCCATCATGGCAGCAATGATAACGGGAAAACGGTACTCATTTCTCTTGCAATACAACTTCAGTGAAGACAGCCATCGCCATCTGCAGCCTGCTGGTGCTAATGGTCTGGAAACAGACCTACCATGGTGGTTGTCCTCCCAAGGGCTACGAGTTCCTCTTGCCAGATTGCTGGGGGGGGGGGGGGGGGGAAATGTTTATAGAAAACCTAATTGCTTGCTCGTAAACAATGCCATTCTGTGACGAGGGAACACACTGGCTTCCTAGCCCTAGTTGTCAGTGCTTCCCCCCCCCCATTAGGGACACGGAATCAGTTTCCCAACTCAGCCATGTTTTGTGCTCACTGGCTCATGTATGATAAACGGCAGCTGCTTCGGCTGCAAAAGCAAAGTGTGTGTGTTTGTGTGTGTGTGTGCTTGCTTTCTCTCTCCAAGTCTCTGGTTAAATGAAGACAAACTCCTGTGCTCCGAGATTGAGATTAATGGGCCAAAGGAGTTAAGAGGCCAATTAAGAGATGATGGATGAGTCTGAAAGAAGGAACGGGGAACAGCTGCAGAAAGAGATGGATGGACTCACAAATGGATAACAAATCCAGTCACCCCGGTTCATCTAGGCCAGAAACAGAACGGTAGTCATCTCCTTACCCAGCAAACATAAGAGACAGCAGCTCAGTCTTTGCCTACATTGAGATGGAAGGCAAAAAAAAAAGAGAAAAAGAAACCAGAAGCAAGCAGTTGGCTTTTAAGTATCCCAACCAGTGGTGAAATGTATAATTTGTTACTACAGTTCTGTGGGCGTGGCTTGGTGGTGGTGGGGTGTAATGTGACTGAGTGGGTGTGGCCAACCTTTTTTTTTTAACTTTTAAACCCATTTTTTCTACCACCTCTTCAGCTGAAGAGGTCATAAAAAAAATGCTTTTAGAAGCCTCTGACGATCCCAGTTGAGTTGCCTGATCGTCAGAGGCTTTTTTTTCTTTTAAAAGCATTTTTTCTACAACCTCTTTGGCGGAAGAGGTCGTAGAAAAAAATGCTTTTAAAAGCCGCTGACGATCCCAGCTGAGCCGCACGATCATCAGAGGCTTTTTAAAAAAACTTTTAAAAGCATTTTTTCGGCAGAAGAGGTTGTAGAAAAAATGCTTTTAAAAATAAAAAATAAAAAAGCCTCTGATGATCACGTGGTTCAGCTGGGCTTGGGGGGTGGGCAGGGATTTTTGCTACTGGTTCTCTGAACCACCCGCTGCCCTCGCTACCGGATCGGGTGATCTGGTCCGAACCGGGAGCATTTCACCCCTGGTCCCAATCAGCCATTACATGATTTAATTTTGACTTGATGTGCTGGGTGAAAAAGCGATTGGCATGGCATGTGGGGTGAACCCAACTTCGGTAACTATGACTTATTCGATAAAGCAAGCAATCCACAGCTCAATTTACTGTGACCCAGTAAATTAAGTAATGGTGCTTTCTGTGTGCTTGTGCTTGTGTTGTGTATGAGTATGATGTTAGCAGACTGTCATGGAAATTCAATCAAGGCTGGCTTAGCCAAAAAAAAAATAAAAAAAAATACCATAGCTTAATGCAAGGTGCAAACTCACAGGGTCTAAGAAAAATAAAACCTCCCTTGAGTTGAATTCTAATACTTCAAAGACAATTCATGTAATTTTCCTGCCCCCGTCATTTAAAACCACTAGGCTCCAATTTTTAAACTTTTAAGCATTCTACTTCAGTTTTAAACATTTATCCATTAAAGATGACCTTTTTAGAGGCCTGTTAGAAAAGCAGGAGCAACGTATTATAATAAACAATTCACTGGTGATTAAGTTAGAAAGTATCTTGAACACTAATTTATGGCAAAATTATTAATTTGAGGTGTACAAAGCCCTTCCATTTGTCTGTTATCCTTCGAAATGAAGCAAGAACGTAGACTATTTTAAGAACAGATCTAATTATTTGATTCCCACTGCGAGGTATGCAACATTAAATGCAAACCATACTAAAGCAAACCAAAGGCACTCAAATGCCCAAAGGTCTTTATTATGCTGTGCCCAACTTATGTAGGACCAACCTATCATTTCACTATAATCGTGCCATGCATTTGTCTAAGACCAGAACCTTCATCATTTACATTTTATACATAAGAGCACATGATTCCCACAAACCAGTATAGCGGAAGAGATTCGGAATGGAAGAGCAATGCTGTGCAACTGAAGAGCTTCAAGGCTGTCATTTGCTGTTACTAAGGCCAAGGAAAAATCCCATGGGTGGTTAGAGCTAAAACATTTTACTGGAGATGAAAATCATTGACATTTCAATGGCCATTGGCAAGTGGTTTTGCAAGAACAGGTTTGTAATCAAATGCAATTTGCTTTCATCTCCGTTACAGCCATCATGATATAAATAGCCAATTCAAAACTCTTCTTTTTCAGAGATTATATTGCAAAGAGGACTTTTGATGCTGCAGGCTACAATTGATCCATCCAGGCTCTCAAATTAACACTGCAGCTATTTAGAAACTCCCCTGGAAGCTGCTTGCTCCAAGGAAAACACCTTGGTGGGCTAATTACTCATCCGCCTTTAATAAACTAGCATTAGAATGAAAAGGAGCCGCTAAGAAATCTGCTAAATGAAACTAGTTTGTCTTGTTGCATGTTACAGCACAAATCACTCTATTTTTTAGTATCTGCTTCTTCTTCTAAAATGCTCCTCTGAAAATGTGTAAGAATGGCTTAGAAGAACTTGAAGATGTGAGAACTTCAACTTGAAGATGTGTGGACTTGGCAACTTCAATGTGTGGAATTCTGGGAGTTGAAGTCCACACATCTGGCTTAGAAAATTCTTCTCCAACCCAACTATTTTGGACTGGGTCATATAACTCCCAGCCAGCATGGCGATCAGTTGTGTGGGCTGAGAATTGCGGAATTCGAATATGAAGTTGGGGAAAGTTACCTTAGAAGCCACAGAACTCATTTTGAAGCTGAATGCATCCACCATGATTTTCCTGCTCAATGACTTAACTTGTCAAGAGCCATTTTGCTCAGGAAAGAAGAGGATCTGGCTGCAAAGATTGTCCTGTGTTCCTGAGGAAAATACTAAAAACTTATATGTCAAATCTGACTCGGCTCCATAGTTGTCTGTAGCTGCTTTCGCTCGCAGCTTTGCCAAACTGTGACGGGAAGTGGGTGGTGAATTCCTAAGGGTGGAAGGAGGCTTTGGAATGCAAGTGAAACATCTGTGGCTGGAGAGATGTTATCTGACAAGGCCAAGTGATGAAGAATGTTTTGACCGAAGCAGACAGCTTTTCCAGAAGCAAAAGAATTGAACTCAATTGGTGAACTCTGAACTGTGGGTGGCCTGGAGGGTAAAAGGGGAATTACCTATGTGTGGGTTTTCACGGGAAAATTCCAGAACTGACTTTGCTTCTGCTGTGCCTAGATGAATTTTTCAATAAAGCTACACTCTTGGTTAATCTAAAGCAGGATTGTCAAACTCTATTTCATTGAGGGCTGCATCAGGGTTGTGTTTGACCTCGGGGCGCTGGGTGGGCGTGGCTAGGGTGCCTGGGCTGGGCATGGCCCCATTTTCGGCTGGGAGGGCTTCTTGCAACCTCCTGCCAGTGAAAATGGAGCTCAGAGGGGCCGCACATGGCCCGCCTGAGCTCCGTTTTTGCTGACGGAGGCACTGCGGGATGCTCCTTCGCTGTTTCCAGGGCGGCGCCGTGGGCCACATCTAAGCACCCCGCAGGCCGAATCTGGCCTGTGGGCCTTGAGTTTGACATCCCTAATGTAAAGAGCCAGGAGTTTCTTTTGTTGAATGTGCCCAATGGGACGATCGACACTACCTAACTCATTATAATCTGCAGATTCTGAAATAGATTTATACAAAGTCTTTAACTCCAGTGGGACCAGCCTTTGCCCCATCTCATTCCACTCTTGAGGAATTCTTATCACATTGTATAATAATAAATATTCTGAGTGTGCACACATACATCAGCATAGATGGGAGAATCTCCAGGATAAGAACCGTTTCTCCATGGGCTGAAACGTCTCTTTTTTCTTCAGTTTTCTATCCAGTCACTTAAAGTCACCCCCTGGCTTGATGGATGACAGATAAATTTAATAATAAAAAATAAAATAAAAAGAGAAAGTCTACAAGGGATTCTCAGATTGGGTAGAAACCATAATTGCTTTAGCTCCCAGGCCATCACTGATACTGGATAGTGATCTCTGGTCTATGTTAAGCCTTCATTGTTTGCTCCTCATTCTTCTGTCTGTTGAGCCAGAAGATAGATGTGAGGTTATAAATTGGTTTTGTAATTCTGGATCGTTCAAGCCTCCTGGGATTGAAATCCACTAAAAATGCTCGTCTTCACATCCGGAGGATCTGCTTAACGGATACATACGGTTCCTGAGAAACCTTCAAAGCTGCTTGGTAATCTGCCAAAGGGACTTCTCGGCAGACCGGAGCAACCAGTTGACCCTTTCGAATGAGAGTGCACAGTTCTGCTATCATTATTTCCAGCTTCTCTTTGCCTGGGTATGGAAAAGAAAGCAGAAAGCAGTCATCAATTCTTTCTTTCTGAACGGCTGCGTTTAAACTCAAGAGAACAAATAATAATCATTTGTACAATAAATTCTGGGCTCCAAGATCAGTTGGGGACTGCAGCCAAAAAATTAAAAGACGCTTGCTCTCGGGGAGGAAAGCTATGGCAAATCTAGACAATTTACTATAAAGTAGAGACATCACCCTGCCAACAAAAGTGCGTATAGTCAAGGCCATGGTTTTCCCAGTTGCAATGTATGGCTGTGAAAGTTGGACCATAAGGAAGGCTGAGCGCCAAAGAATTGAGGCCTTTGAACCCTGGTGCTGGAGAAGATTCCTGTGAGTCCCTTGGACTGCAAGGCGATCAAAATGGTCAGTTCTAGAGGAGATCAACCCTGACTGCTCTTTAGAAGGCCAGATCCTGAAGATGAGACTCAAATACTTTGGCCACCTAATGAGAAGGAAGGACTCACTGGAGAAGAGCCTAATGCTGGGAATGACTGAGGGCAAAAGAAGAAGGGGACGACAGAGAAGGAGGTGGCTGGATGGAGTCACTGAAGCAGTCGGCGTGAGCTTAAATGGACTCCAGAGGATGGTAGAGGACAGGAAGGCCTGGAGGAACATTGTCCATGGGGTCGCGATGGGTCAGACATGACTTCGCAACTAACACCACCACCACCACAATAAATTCTGCTGGATATCTCCTCTGCCTGCCCTCTGGAATGGTATTCTCACCAGAGGTTTGTCTTGGCTCAACCCTGCCATTTTTTAATCCAGGTTCTTCCTCCAGGCCCTGATAGAATAGTTCTCTTTGGTTCTCTTGCATTATTTAGTCTTATTCTTTTTTTGTTTTTTGTTAGTTTTATTTGGTCATGGCATTTTAGGGGAGATTTTTTTTACCCGACGTTTTTACTGTAAACTACCATAAGCCCAGAATCCATTGAGTTGGGCAAGTCTACACGATGGATAAAATAAATGAATAGATAATAAATAGATAAACTGCTCTCAGGCAGCCTGAAAAGAAAAATCAGCACTACCAAAAAGTTCAATACATGATAACGGTTGGAATTATCCCTTTTAGTTAGGGAAGGAAAAAAACAGACTTCAAGATTATGGGAAGTACGTAATGTGTTTTTGTAATCCACGGACTGCAAAGGCCCAACCACCCCCAATTCTAACCCAACATTATAAATTGGACAGCAAAGTGTCATCAAGGACATTTATTTTATCCAGTGTACAGAACTGACTAACTCAATTGATTAAACTCATAAGAAAATTTCTTTCACTTTTGACTGGGGATGCAAGGAGGCCATTTCACAGATGTTCTGCTTGTCATGCCCCAGCATATAACCTTTATATATTGTTGTTACTCTCTAGTCCCATCTAGTGACTGGAGTGACAAGTATGTCCCAACATATGATCTTTATATACTGCTGTTGCTCTTTAGCCCCATCTAGTGGCTGGACGGACAAATACCAATTATATTGACCCCATCCCATTACCCATCAGCCTGCACTCTCAAAACAAGTGCACACTGGAAAGCCAGACTCCTTTAGCATTTGGAGAAGGCAGAAGCACAAAGAAGAATCCATCTTAATCTGTGGCACATGGTCATCCAAGGACAAACCCACGTACCACACACACAGCATCGCTGGTGAGATTTAAATTGCTTGCATTTATTAATTGTTATGTTCAGCAGTAACTTAATACTGTCTATCTTGTATTTGGTTCTCATTGTGTGTATCCCTATTTTCCCCCGTTTCACCATATCCTGTTCTTTCAATAAAGCATTCAGATCTACACACATGGTCTGTTTTTATTGGAGGATAGATGGGTTAGCTGCATGTTGAACTTCACACAGGCTAACATGTAGTGGGGACAAAACCCTTTTCACTAAGCTAAGGAACCATAGTTCAATTATTCCCATAGCCTTATTTTTCTAGTACATGTAGCTCTTTCAATTTTCATGTATTGAGTTTTATATTCATTGGCTGCAGGTTATTTAGTATGCATTTTAATCTATCTAATTAGAGAGATGAGAAATTTAGAGCTGAAGGCAGATTTCACCCGTTTCTAATATAAAAATAACACGCATGCCACTTACTGTGGGCATTGTCCCTCTTCCACTGGGTCATCCAAAAGCCACGTACGTTGACATTCTTAAAGATCAGTGCACTCTGCAGAGGAAATTACAATTCACACATTCCGAAATACAGTTTTGGGATTGGGGCAGAATTTAGCATCACAATATGGGTGTCAGAGTCCCAGTTAACACATCCAATGAAATCAAAACTCCAAGGCAGGCATATTCCTCAAAGTATAGATTTTTGAATAGAATAGAATAACAGAGTTGGAAGGGAACTTGGAGTCTTCTAGTCCAACCCCCTGCTTAGGCAGAAAACCCTACACCACTTCAGACAAATGGTTATCCAATATCTTCTTAAAAACTTCCACTGTTGGGAGGATTCACAACTTCTGGAGGCAAGTTGTTCCACTGATTAATTGTTCTAACTGTCAGGAAATTTCTCCTTAATTCTAAATTGCTTCTCTCTTTGTTTTGTTTCAAGTCAACCCATTGCTTCTTCTCCTGCCCTCAGGTGCTTTGGAGAATAGCTTGACTCCCTCTTCTTTGTGGCAGCCCCTGAGATATTGAAACACTGCTATCATGTCTCCCCTAGTCCTTCTTTTCATTAAACTAGACATACCCAGTTCCTGCAGCCGTTCTTCATATGTTATAGCCTCCAGTCCCCTAATCATCTTGGTTGCTCTTCTCTGCACTCTTTCTAGAGTCTCCACATCTTTTTTACATCGTGGTGACCAAAACTGAATTTTTATTTGATTTATTATTGGGCATGTCATAATGGCACATCTGGGGAAACCCACTTTAGCACCCTCGGCTTCCCCCCCCAGTTAAAATCAAAGTTTTCTTTCCCCTGCCCATGCAATCCATCACATTGTCCAATCAGTCCAAGGGTCAGTTGGTCTCAGATCCCACCTCCTTGCACCTGGTGGGAAAGTCCTTGGTTCTCAGAGGAAAGAATTTTATTTTGACTACAGTCCCCCAGCTACCTCTACCTCCCCCCCACTCCTGTTCCCACAGCTCGACTCGTCTCTGCTGTGGCAGCCCTGAAGATGCCCGGAGAAAATGGCTTCAGGGCTGACAATGGGGATATCAGAATGATTTTCTTCTTAGAGATACTGCTCTAATAACTAGAAAACCTGATGCGCAAATAGAAATACTATCCAAGTAGTCCTCGGTTTACAATGGTTCATTTAGTGACCATTCAAAGTTACGCCACTGGGGAAAAAAGTGACTTATGACCATTTTTCACACCTACGACCACCGTAGCATCCCCATGGTCATGTGATCGAAATTCAGATGCTTGGCAACCGACTCATATTGATGACGGTTGCAGGGTCCTGAGGTCATGCAATCAGTTTTTGTGACCTTCTGACGAGCAAATTCAAAGGAGAAGCCAGATTCGCTTAAAGCTGTGCTACTAACTTAACAACGGCAGTGATTTGCTTAACAACAGTAGCAAGAAAGGTCGTGAAATGGGGGCAGTACTCACTTAACAACTGTCTCACTTAGCAACAGAAATGTTGGGCTCAATTGTAGTCATAAGTTGAGGACTACCTGTGTTACCTCAGGAAAGGGAACATGTGAGGGATAAATAGGTTAGCCAGAAAATTTCAGGACTACTCACCACAGGGACTGTCACAGGCTGCTTTGACATCCCACCGTAGGTAACCATGGTCCCACTATGCCTAATGGAGGAATTGGGTTAGGGTTAGGGCAATTAAGGTTAGGATAAAGGCAATTAAATTGGCAAACTACCTAGGCTTCCCCAGCAGCACGAAGCGATAAACCCCTTTTATTTAATTTACAGTGAATTCCCCTCCAGCAAAGACTTTCCTCTCCAACAGTCTTTCAAGATGGTTCACAATTACCGACCTTTATCAGGCTTGGAGAGTGGCCAGGCCGATATCTTTCAAACACCGCAATACTTGGCAAGAATGCAGGAATGAACTGCATTCAAGTTCAAGGTTTTGGTTATCACCTTTAGAGCGCTCCATGGCTTAGGACCTGGTTATTTACGGGACCGCTTGCTACCACCAAGAGCCTCCCACCGGCCGGTACGCTCTCACAGAGAGGGGCTCCTCCGGTGCTGTCGGCCAAACAATGTCGACTGGCGGCCCCCAGGGGGAGGGCCTTCTCTGTGGGGGCACCTACTATCTGGAATGAGCTCCCCCCGGAGATACAGAGGATTCCAGATCTACGCACCTTCCATCGCGCTCTCAAGACTTTTTTATTCCATCAAGCCAGCCTGGCCTAAATCTTTCCCCTTTAAAATGTAAATTTTAATTTGTTTTTAAAATTATTGGGTGTTTTAAATTTGTCTCGGCCAAATTGTTTAATTCGGTTTTATTCTGTTTTTAAATTTTGTATTTATGTGTTTTATTCTGTGGCTGTTCACTGCCCTGAGTCCTTCGGGAGTAGGGCGGTATACAAATCCAATAAATGAAATGAAAAAAAATGAAATGAACTAATTGTCTCCTGCAAACACCCCTCCCCTTTCATTCCTCTTTTATTCTCTCTGGGAGGGGCCATTCATCGTCCACCTGTGGCCTTATTCCCAAGTCAACCCTTGTTCTTTAGCAGCTCCCTTCGTCTGGCAACTGTGCATGCACACACTGGGAACAGGCTCCAGGTGTTCTTCTGCCCCACTGATGTCTGACTCCGCAGGCAGCTGATAACTGGCATACAGTCCTGGCCCCCACTCTGCCTCTGACACAGAGCCCTCATCAGAGCCTTCCCCAGACTCCAGGACTGGCCCATGTTCCTCTCCAACCTCCTCACTGTCCGAATCTGCTGCCAGCTCCGCTGGTGGGCCACAACACTACCTTAATTCAGACCCTATTTTTACTGTCCAGCTTCCTCAGCCTTTGGACACCTGGTTAATTTCTGCAACATTTAATTGAAAACCATGCAGTTCAGAGATTGAGAGCAAGAGGTTCACTGGATTAAAGTTTAGAAGTCATAAAATAAAATATTGAGAAAACCAAAAAAGGGCTCCCTCCCAAAATCTCACTAAAGTCTTCAACATAGCTGTCCTTCACAAAAAACTTTTCCCCAAGGTTCGGGTTCAAGACTTCTTTAAATACATTAAGGTTGGCTTCGTGTTGGATACCTCCAGGTTTTCAAGGCATTCTCAAGTGAGACCTTTAAACTATAAAATCCAGATAAATTGTGATCTATAAAACCCCTGCAATTCTGGGAACTGGCTTAGAATACCAGTCTCCTTTTCCTGTCTAATAATGACATTACATTTGCTAAAAATAATAGTAACAGTAATAACACTTAAGACTTATATACAGTTTCGAAGTGCTTTACAGCCCTCTTTAAGCAGTTTAAAAAGTCAGCCTCTTGCCCCCAACAATCTGGGTCCTCATTTTACCCACCTCGAAAGGATGGAAGGCTGAGTCAACCTTGAGCCTGGTGAGATTCGAACTGCCAAACTGCTGGCAGTCAGCAGAAATAGCCTGCAGTACTGCATTCTAACCACTGCACCACCAAGGTTCTAATGCACAGTAAATTCATCTTATTACAGTGAAATGATGATACCAGGATCTATTCCTGACTATTCCAGAGCTGTGGAGCTGGATTTCACTGAAATTATAAAATTTAAATATTTTTCAGATGCAGCACAAAATCCTTCAACCCTGACTTGCATTTGGCAGCTTGCTAGCTGGGCAAAATATGTTTGTCATGAGGTTTTTAAGCACCTCTTAATTTCTTTCTTAAATGTCACACAAGCCAAAAGTTTCGGACAGTATTCAGTACAATTTGTCAACTTCAAAACAAGAATTCAGAGAGTACAAATCTGCCCCATTAAATAGCAAATCCCTGCACTAATTCACACTAGCAAATGTAAGAGTGTGTATATGTCTTGCTTCAAATATACTCTTTCTTAGGCAACTCGCAACCCAAATGAAAATTAAAGACAGACTGCCCATTAAGCATTTAAATCGAGTGAAACAATTACTACAGATATAATTCAAGCAAACAAAAGCTAAATTTACCTCAAGTGACGCATCAGCTCAGTAGCACTTTTCCCTCCAACACCATTCAGAGCTAATGAGGGCTTAGGAATTTCCTGGAGAACAAAATTGTACAAAACAAAAACAAAACAGAAAACAAAACTTAAAGCTTCTTGCTTTAAGTCCTCCAAATTATTCACAGAAATAAATGTTTGATTTTGCTAAGTAGTTCTTAAGATTTCTGTCTTACAATCATCTTTTCAACAGACAGTAGAATGGGAAGGCAGACATCCGATTGTAACATGCCTTTGTTTGGAAACAGCAGAACTAAGAGGAATTATACAGGTAATCCTTGATTTACAACAGTTCATTGAGTGACTGCTCAAAATTACAACATCACTGAAAAAAGTGACTTATGATTGTTTTTCACACTTAGAACCAGGGTTGAAATTCAAAAATTTTCCCTACCGGTTCTGTGGGTGTGGTAGGGGAAGGATACTGCAAAATCTCCATTCCCACCCCACTCCAGGGGAAGGATACTGCAAAATCCCCATTCCCTCCCCAATCCTAGGAGAAGATACAGTAAAATCTCCATTCCCACCCTACTCTTAGGGGAAGGATATTGCAAAATCCCCATTCTCTCCTCCTAGGGAAGGATACGGCAAAATCCCCATTCCCTCCCACCCCTAAAGGAAGGATACTGCAAAATCCCCATTCCCTCCCCAATCCTAGGAGAAGGATACAGTAAAATCTCCATTCCCACCCTACTCTTAGGGGAAGGATATTGCAAAACCCATTCCCTCCTCCTCCTAGGGATACGGCAAAATCCCCATTCCCTCCCCACCCCTAAAGGAAGGATATTGCAAAATCTCCAATCCCACCCCACTCTGGGGCCAGCCAGAGGTGGTATTTGCCGGTTCTCCGAACTGCTCAAAATTTCCGCTACTGGTTCTCCAGAACCTGTTAGAACCTGCTGAATTTCACCCCTGCTTACAACCATTTCAGCATCCCCATGGTCACAATTCGGGATCAAAATACAGATGCTTGGCAATTGATTCATATTTATGACGACTGCAAGTGTCCCTGGGTCATATGAGATCCCCTTTTGCATCCTTCTTACAAGCAAAGTCAATGGGGAAGTCGGATTCACTTAACAACTGTGTTACTAACAGCTATGCAGTGATTCATTTAACAACTGTGGTAAGAAAGATCGTAAAATGAGACATTTATTTAACAACTGTCTCAGCAACATAAAGTTTGGGCTCAGTTGTGGTCATAAGTTGAGGACTAACTATGTGAAATGCCAAAACATATGTGACTTGGCTTAATATTTGGCAAGGCAAACCAGAAATAGACTGAAAACTTGCATGGGGAAAGTTTTGTTGATTTTGCCCATTAAGCATTTTATTAGGGCCATATCACTGTGGGCCACCTGTAGGTATTGCGGATTTTTATCTGGATTCTGGAAATTATTTCTCTGCAGGGTGGCATAAACAGGGAACAGGCTGAACCAAAGAGGGAAGACAGAGGAGAGAGTAAATTATGTCCTTGCTTCTAATCCCAATCAGTTTGTCTCATTAAAGAGAACTTTAGTATGCAACATGCCTTGAAATTTTATGGCACGGGATAACGTCCATATCCATATCTATTGCCTGTCCCTTTTGCATTTCCTCCGAAATTAAATCTGTAATTCAAAATGGTAAAACTGGACAGAAAGAACATTTGTAAAAATAACCAGCGAGTAAAACAGCACCCATATGAGATCTTTCCTATTGTTTCTTTAAAACGCCCCATCTGGAGTTTTTCAGTTCAACCTTTTGCAGTAATAAAAATCTAGAGATTATAGAGATTTCTCAGTGTTGTAGATGAAAACCATGGCTAAGATGGCTTTTATGGACTATGAATGCTAATATGCTTGTGAAAAAGGCACAGAAGAGGCTGTACTTCCTGAGAATGCTCAGGAAGATAAATCTATCTCAGCATCTACTTCTGTCCTACTATCGCAGCACCATTGAGAGTGTCCTGACATACGGCATTCTTGCATGGTATGGGAGCAGCTCTGTAGCAGACAAAAAAGCTCTACAGAGAATCATTAAAACTGCCCAGAATATTATTGGACTCCAGCTACCAGCTCTGGACAACATCGTTGAATCTCGCTGTTTTGAGGAAGTTGCATAACATTCTCAGAGACTCTTCCCATCCTGCTTACAATCTTTTTGGACTGTTGCCTTCTGGCAGAAGATACAGAACAATTAAAACTCGGACCACACGTTTTCTGAATAGTTTTTATCCCAGAGCTATAATTGCACTCAACAATGAACTAAAGGGCCACCATCAGTGAGCTGTTGGACAGCATTATTTGGTCTGCTGTGTGGATGTTTGGGTGGTTTAGGGGTGGGGGATTTGTGGTGGGTGGGAGTGTGTTTGGGGATTATGTGTGTTGGACCTGGTCTTTGGGTGTTAAGTGAATTTCGTTGTATGGGTATACTGTGTATACACATACAGTGACAATAAAATGTGTTTGTTTGTTTGTTTGTTTTAACAAGAAGCATTTCCCTGCGTTTTCTGATACAAAACTTGGCAGTTCTTAACGCTAAAGCATCAGAGTTGTGCAAGAGTTAAATCCATAAATTATTCATGGGAAAGGAGGCTGAATCCAACATTTCTGAGCTGTATTCGGTAGCCATTCAAAACGGTCTCTTCCTCACTGCCTTGTGTTACCGTGTTATGCTTCCTCGAGGTTCTACGGACTGCCTGGGTTCACATACGTAACATACTAAGATTCAAATTGCAAAGATTAGGGATAGGTAGCCCTTGACTTACGACCACAATTCAACCCAAGAGTTTCAGGAAGTTGCTAACTGAGTTGTGCCTGAAGTTATGACCTTTATTGCCACAGTTGTTAGGAAAATCATTGCAGTTGTTAAGTGAATCTGGCTTTCCCCCACTGACTTTACAGAATAGAATAGAATAGAATAGAATAGAATAGAATAGAATAGAATAGAATAGAATAGAATAGAAGAGGATAGAACAGAACAGAACAGGAATAGAGATAGGATAGGATAGGATAGGATAGGATAGGATAGGATAGGATAGGACAGGACAGGACAGGACAGGACAGGAAAGGAATAGAACAGAACAGAACAGAACAGAACAGAATAGAATAGAAATCTGGAAGGGAACTTGAAGGTTTTCTGGTCCAGATCCTGTTCAAGCAAGAGAACCTATACCAGTGATGGCGAACCTTTTTGGCACCGAGTACCGAAAAGGTTGCATGGAAACGTCATGTGCGTGTGCTCATCAGGACTGCGCTCCGGAAAAGACGAACTTCCGGGTTCTAGCATGCAGGCGCACCCAACGATCAGCTGGCTGGCACACATGCGCAGGCCGGTTTTCAGCACTGCCACATGCGCGAAGGGATCATGCTCCGGAAAAGCCGAACGTTTGGGTTCTGGTGCGCATGCACCCACGACAATCAGCTGGCTGGTGCGCATGCGTACACAGGTTTTCGGCACTGTCGCGTGCGTGGACAGCTGACTGTTGCACGCGCATGTGCATCAGAAACCCGGAACACAAAAAGGCAAGGCTGTGCGTGCCAGGCGACATGGCTTCGTATGCCACTTTGGGCATGCATGCCATAGGTTGGCCATCATGGACCTATACCATTTCAGACAAGTGATTGTCTAGTCCAGTGATGGTTAATCTTTTTGCCATTGCGTGCCAAAAGTGGGGGAGAGTGGGGGGGGGGTCGTGTGTGCGCGTGCCCACACCCATTATTCAATGCCCCACACACATGCACACGCGACCCCCCGGCGACCCCCACTTTTGGCACGTGATGGCACGGTGGGCCCGGTAGACCCGTTTTTTGCTCTTCCCAGGCTCAAGACTTTCTAGGAGCCTGTAGAGGGTGAAAACGGCCTTTCCACCTCCCCCCCACCCCCGGAGGCTGGAAATGGCCCGCTTGCCAACTTCCGGTGGGTCCGGAAGGCCCGAAAATCAGCTGGCGGAGCTGAGCTCGCGTGCCCACTGATACGGCTCCGCATGCCACCTGTGGCACGCGTGCCATAGGTTCGTCTTCACGGGTCTAGTCTCTTCTTGAAAATCTCCAGTGATGGAGCACCCACGATTTCTGAAGGCAAGCTATTCCACTGGTTTAATTGTCCTGACTGTTAGGAAGTTTCTCCTTAATTCCAGGTTGCTTGTCAGAAGCCAGCCGGGAAGGTTACAAATCACATGACCTCTGGACAGTGCAACCGTCATAAATACATGCCAGTTGCCAAAGAGCCTGAATTTTGAACACCTGATCATGGGGATGCTGCAACAGTCGTAAGTGTGAAAAATGGTCGTAAGTCAGTTTTTTCAGTGCCGTTGTAACTTTGAACGGTCACTAAATGAACTGTTGTAAGTCGAGGACTACCTGTAGATGCAAAACAGTGGACCAAACCAAAGAGACTAAAATGGGTTTGTGCTCTCTGAGCTTGCTTGTTTTCTTGCTGATGAAAGTTCGGAGAGCAGCAAGGAGCCCTCATGTCTCAGGTGGCAAACTCTGGCCTGCAGGGTGCTTAGATCTGACCTGCAGGGCCATCCTGGAAACAGCAAAGGACTGGGCCATGGTGTCTCTGCCAGCGGAAACGGAGGCCCTCCAGAGCTCCGTTTTCGCTGGCAGAGGGTTGTCTCTGTCGCAGATGAAAACAGAGTTTGGGAGTCTGTTTTCTCTGGCAGAGTCCTCGGGTGACCGCAGGCACCCCCGACATGAGTGACATTGAGCTGGCCACACCCACCCAGGCCACATCCACTCCACCCCCCTGAGGTCAAACACAACCCTGATGTGGCTTTCAATGAAATCGAGTTTGACACCCCTTCCTCATTTCAACCCTAAGCTACAAATATTCTCCTTTATTACCGTAGTAAAATGGGTTTGTGTGTGAACGAGGTAACTAACAAAATCCAATTCATTGCAGCAATAGCAATAGCACTTAGACTTATACACCGCTTTACAGCCCTCTCTAAGCGGTTTACAGAGTCAGCATATTGCCCCCAAACAATTTGGGTCCTGCAGTCGTGTTTCCTTTAGCTATTTCACAGCTACAGCCTTTTTTGTGGTCATATATATATATACCTTAAACAACTCTTTCATTTCTGGTTTTCTTAGCGTCTCCTCTGCGATAACATAGTCTGCTCCAAGGGACTTAAGTCTGTCTACAAGATCCTGGAGATTTGGTCTGTGGAACAACAACAAAAATAGAATCAGATGAAGCTGATGATTTGATGGGGCATAAAAAGGAACGCGAACATTAAATTGATATGAGAATGCACATTATCAATATTCTCACTCTGGCCTAAGCTGAGTCAATTTTCAGCGATTAAGAAAATACTTTTCTTCGTCTTTTTGCGCTTAGATACTAAAGAAGCTAGCTTAGAATAAGTGCTGGGAGTCAGGTGATATACAAGTAACAACAAATGTCTAGTTTAATGAAAAGAAGGACTAGGGGAGACATGATAGCAGTGTTCCAATATCTCAGGGGCTGCCACAAAGAAGAGGGAGTCAAGCTATTCTTCAAAGCACATGAGGGCAGGACAAGAAGCAATGGGTGGAAACTAATCAAGGAGAGAAGCAACTTAGAACTAAGGAGAAATTTCCTGACAGTTAGAACAATTAATAAGTGGAACAACTTGCCTGCAGAAGTTGTGAATGCTCCAACACTGAAGTTTTTAAGATGTTGGATAACCATTTGTCTGAAGTGGTGTACGGTTTCCTGCCTAAGCAGGGGGTTGGACTAGAAGATCTCCAAGGTCCCTTCCAACTCTGTTATTCTACTTTAGTATTCTAACATTTGCCAAGTGGTGAAGTGGTTCAGGAGACCACTTTATCCTTCGGCGACTTATCAGCCGGTTCACTTCTACATGCATGTTCTACAAGAGGAAGACTTCTTCTGTGAAGACAACTGCTGATAAGACAGAGCCCTCATTCAGAAACAAAGAACGCTTGCCGTTAAGAGTAAATCTATCAATTGCTATGAATAAAAAATAGCATCAAGTAACTATAACAGCCTGAAGCTTTCAGATAAAGCTCTCCGCAATTGCTGTTCAATTCTGGGGTGGGGGTGGGGGATCTCAGCTGCTTTAAGAAACTGCAGAGAGGCACTGCATTTGTGCCCTCATATACTCCAAAGCAGGGGTCTCCAACCTGCAACTCCCAGAATTCCTCACTCAGCTTTGCTGAATTCTGGGAGTTGAAGTCCTCCTGGCTTACAGTTGCTAAGGTTGGAGACCTCTGCTCCAAAGCATCTTTTCAGATCAAATCCAAAGCATGTTCTCATATTAAAAGTCCTGTATTCAAATTTTAAAAATACATTGTCTCAGATATAAATTAGAAACCTTTTGTATGAGGCCCGTTTTTCTCTATCACCTGGCTACAGAGTCTCTCTAGGAGTCTGGGGAGGGCAAAAACTGCCTTCCCCACTCCCCCGGAGGCCTGTTTGCCAACTTCTGGTGGGCCCAGAAGGCCTGAAAATCAGCTGGCCGGCACACCCATGCACACCAGAGTTGAGCTCGCGTGCCCACTGATATGGCTACGCGTGCCACCTGTGGCATGTGTGCCATAGGTTCGCCAACACGGCCCTATACTATTCCAGACAAATTGCTGTCCAGTCTCTTCTTAAACGCCTCCAGTAGTGGAGCACCCACAACTACTGAAGGCAAGCCGTTCCACTGGTTAATTTTTTTTTTTTACTGTCAGAAAATTTCTCTTTAGTTCTAGATTGTTGTTTCCTTGATTATTTTTTTTCCATTGTTTCTTGTCTTGCCTTCTGGTGCTTTGGCCTTCTCTTCTTTGTGTCAGGCCCTCAAATATTGGAAGTCTGCTCTCATGTCTCCCTTAGTCCTTTTTTTCACTACATGCTCAATTCCTTCAATCGTTCTTCGTAGGTTTTAGCCTCCAGTCCTTAATCATATTAATTGCTCTTCTCTGCACTCTTTCCAGAGTCTCAACATCTTTTTTTATATCGAAGCGACCAATACTGGATGCAGTATTCCAAGTGTGGTCTTACCCAGTGGTGGGATTCAGCCGGTTCCAGACAGTTTGGGCAAACCAGTAGTTAAATTGCTGGATGGCTCTGCCCCTCCCTGCCCCTTCCAGGAGTCCCCACGGCCTGTTTTTGCTCTCAGGGGGGTGCAGGAGGCTGAGTACTGCCTGTCACACCCACTGGCCATGCCCACCCAGCTGATCATTAGGACAGAGAACCGGTTGTTAAATTATTTGAATCCCATCACTGGTCTTACCATAGCGTACAAACTGGCAATCTTTTATTTTTTAAAAAAAACACCTATGAGCATCATATAATGCCATCTAGGATTCATATAATCTCCATCTGAATAAAAGGCGTCTAAGAGAATGCCCTGTTTGTGCAGGTTTAGCGTAAACCAAAAGGCTCCGACTGGGCAAAAGCAATAGGAAAAAAAAAAAAAAGAGAGAGAGGGAAAAACAGTTTTGTAAGGCACACTCACCTATCTCTTATTACATTTATTGTTTTGATGCCCTTGGCTGCTGCAATCTGGATTACAGCCTGTCCCACTCCACTATTGGCTGCATTTTGGATGACAGACTCCCCTACAGACAAACAGACATGTCATCTCGGGCTTCAAAGGTATTTCTTTCCTGCTCCCCTCAAGTGGAAGACACTCTCATCATTATTGTGTGTTGGAGAAAATAGCATAGCCAGTGGAAACTCAGGTCACCTGACCCAGTGGTGGGTTTCAAAATTTTTTTACTACCGGTTCTGTGGGTGTGGCTTGGTGGGCGTGACATGGCTTGGTGGGTGTGGCAGGGGAAGGATACTGCAAAATCTCCATTCTCACCCCATTCCGGGGGAAGGATACTGCAAAATCCCCATTTCCTCCCGATCAGCTGGGACTTGGGAGGCAGAGAATAGATGGGGGCGGGGCCAGTCAGAATTTTTACTACCGGTTCTCCGAACTACTCAAAATTTCCGCTACCGGTTCTCCAGAACTGATCAGAACCTGCTGAAACCCACCTCTGCACCTGACACCTTTTATTCCCAATTTAAAAAGAGGTCTTGGAAAAAGACAAGGAAAACCAATTTTTTAAAATGAAATAAATAAAATATAAACCTCAGCCCTTAAGTTCCCTTTAAAGGCCCAACTAATCATAACCACGAGAACGTTTGACGTCAGTAAAGTAATTCTGGTCAGTTGCAGCAAATATTTTGGGAAGACGATAATGTAGGTCAGGATGTGCAAAAGAAAAAGTGCCTGCATTGATTTTGATTATGTAGAATTCTTTTCATTTAGGAGTCAGATCGGGATAATTACTGAGACAGTCTTGGTCACATATGTCCATGATCTTTGGTGGCCCCAGGATGGTGGTACTAGATCTGTTCTGGCTGTCCTTTATAGTTTACCAGCTGTCAATGCCATTGACCACAACACAGGTAGTACTCAATTTATGACAATTGAACCCAAAATTTGTGCTGTTAAGTGAGAAACTTGTTAAGTGAGTTTTGCCCTATTTTACAACTTTTCTTGCCACATTTGTTAAGTGAACCCCTTGCAGCTGTTAAATTACTAATACAGTTCTTAAGTGAATCTGGCTTCCCTATTTGACTTTGCTTGTCAGAAGGTCACAAAAGGGAATCGCATGAGTCTCGGGCACTGCAACTGTCATGAATGTGAGTCAGTTGTCAAGCATCCGAATGTAAATCACGTGTCCATGAGGATGCTTCGTAGGTGTGAAAAATGGTCCTAAGTCGCTTTTTTCAGTGATGTTGTAACTTCAAACGGTCACTAAACGAAGTGTTGTAAGGCAAGGACTACCTGTATCCTTCTGGCTGTGCCCCCATTGGCTTTTAGAAAATTTGGCTTTTTCTTCAGGTGTGGGGCTAAGGATGACTGGGGGTTGATAATCATATGGAGAACTAATCCTCTATTAACATTTACTGGATTTTAATTGGGATTGTTTATCGTGTTTATTGTGTTGAGTTATTTATTGTGTAGAGTTTTTGTATGTTTTCCTGTACACTGCCCAAATTTGCAATTTTCAAGTTGAGCAATCATATAAATTCTACAAACATACATACATATATGCATACCTGGTTCTAAAGTCTCAAAATCAGACAACATCCGATAAGCTGTGCAGGGGTTAACACCCAGTGTGGCAGCACAAGTCAACGGAATATCTGGCGGGATTTTCAACAGAGTTTTCTCATCGAATACTGCTTCTGTTCGCCAAGTTCCTTTTGTAAAGGATTAAAAAAAAAAGAAGACGACACGATTTAAGCTGTGGAACAGTTAATCACCACCTGGAAGTTCTCAGCTCTCAGAAAAGGCCTAAAGTGTTGTCAAGAAACACTCAACAGATTAAATCGTTGAAAAGATTGGGTTTGCACAACGTACGTAAGTTATAAACTCCGGTTTCCAAACAGCCACCATGTTTCACACATTGGGCTATGCTCAGGGGTGGGCTGCTAGGGGTTCGCACGGGTTCTGAAGAACCTCTAGCTAAGATTCTGTGCAGTTCGGAGAACCCCCAAATCCCACCCCGCCCAGGAGTCCCCACACGGCCTGTTTTGATGCAGGTAAGTGCAAGGCCTGTGCGGAGGCTGGGGAACGGCAAAAAACAGGCCTACTGGAAGTTCCAGAAGGCCAGAAACGGGCCCGTTTCCCACCTCCAGAGGGCCTCCGGAGCCTGGGGTGGCCGTTTTCACCCTCCCAGAGGCTCAAGGAAAGCCTCTGGAGCCTGGGGAGGGCAAAAACACCACCACCCCTGCCGCCATGGTGCAGGAGGCTGACTACACCACGCCCATCATGGCCACCCCACCCAGCAACCAGGCAGAGAACCCCTGGCTAAATAGCTAAAATTTTTGAAGCCCACCTCTGGCTATGCTACAAAATGGTTTCCTCAGCTTTGACTTGGCCTCTTGTGACAATCTGTCCACTACGATTTGTTTTCAAACATTTAAAGCTCAGCAGAGGGACTGGACAAAAGGGAAACAAGAGTTTTGCTTCAATTCCTCTCTCCCCCAAAATTCACCAAGTCCTCCATCAGCTGGAATCACCCAGTCTCCCGGTTTCAAAGTTGTCACAGAATTTCCTGTGTCCATCACTTGCCCAACTCCTTCATTCCCTCCAACTGCAGGTAAGTCAGCAACAATGCCATAGGATCCTGCAAGAAAAATAGGAGCAATTTTGATGTATGAATGAATTAAAACTTGCTTTGGCATTGTACATTATTTTCTTATTCTGTAGCAAATTCCAAATAGCATATAACGTATAAGGTCGTAAAGATTTCCAAGGTAGATTTCAACAATGTAATAATACTGAATTGGTTCCCTTATCGCTTTAAGCTATGGGTTTGCCACTTTTCTGAGCACTGGTCACACTGAAGCTGCGTTCTTAAAACGGGAAGGATTTCAAACTTGGAAGAGAATTTGGGGATTCTTAATGGAGTAAATGTTCTATAAAACCTTAGTTAATGAATTCCATTAAGTTAAGCTGTAGGTAATTTTGCTTCTTAAAACACAATTGAACTGGATGCATATCATAACACTAAGCCATAAACTATAGTTTAAAAAAATATAACGGCTCACAGATGAAAAATCTAAATCAAGCAAATCGTATTATAGCTCTTTGTAATAATATGTGAATCCGGGCATGGAGTGGCTGAAATTTTTCCCTAGGGTTACTAATTTTCTTAGCCAATTAGATCTGGTCGTTGGTTAGAAAAGATCCTGTAGGATTGATAGACAGCTGTATCCCCACAAGCAAGAAATAATCCTCGTTTCTTCTTTAATCTTTGGTGTAATAGCTATTTCCAAGTTTATGCAGATTAAGACTGCTTATTATGGATGGCATGTAATATTATTATATAGCTTTGCTATTTAGGTTGCCATCATTTAGAGACCCTCTGCATGTGGCAATTTCCAAATATAGAAACTTTATTAATGGCTCTTAGGAATGTTTCCAGAGATTGCACAGTAATATAGCCTAAGTTGAATTGATGAAGATAGCAGCAGCTGTAGGCAAGCTAACTCTGTCAATCCTGGGTTCTATCTCACTGGGAATACTATTAAATGTGGACAGTCTAGAGGCTTAATTTTCCCTTGACAGCACCACATAAAGAAAGAATAAGGGAGGCAAAAATTAAACAATGTGTGTTATGTCAAGGTTACCTTGAATCATATTGATGTCCGCTGGGTTGATGGGAGCTGCAACCATTTTCACGTGGACTCCAGAATCCCCGAGTTTGGCTAAAGCTACGTCTTTTAGGCTGCAAGGGAAAGCGGACAGAATATATTTATTATTCTTAAGCTTCTCTTTGCCAGCAAAGAGATTTTGCAACCCAATGCCATTATTTATAAGTTTTTATTCTTTCATTTGAAAATCAGTTTCATCTATAGTTACGGGTAGTCCTTGACTTATGACCAGTGGTTTCACGGCCATTTGAAGTTATGATGGTCACAGAAAGAGCATTTATGGCGGTTTTTCCCCACACCCAAGTCACATGACCATATTTTGGGCACTTGGCAACTGACTCTCATTTTCAACTCTTTGCCGAGTGGCCTGTGATCATGTGACCACCATTTGCCACCATCTGCCAGCTTCCCTAATAAGTCCATGTGGAAGTTGCAAGCGAAGGGAATGGAGGAGAGCTGAAATCCTTCGGCAGGCTGCAGGAATGGATTTCAGCTCCATTCTTTGAAGGATTCCCCCTCAGTGCACAGAAGGGAGAGGAAGTCTTCATGGGATCTTAGGAACAGAGCAGAAATTCTGATGATTTCACTCACTCCCGTAGCCCCCTCTAAGTATTTCCCCTCCATGCAAGGAGAGGAGCTGAACTCCAAGGTGGGCTACGTTGAAAGCAAAAGGGCTGCCTCTGCTGGGAGAATTTCAGCTCCACATGGAGCTGAAATCTTTCAGCAGGCAGCTCTTTCACTCAGTAGTGGGATCCTCCCGGTTTAACAACCAGTTCAGTGATCACGTGTGCATGCGTAGTTTGAAGAAATCTTCACTTCCGGGTTTCTTCGGAGGAGTAACACAGCTGATTTGTGTGGTAATTGGCTCTGCCACACGAATCAGCTGAAGAGATAAAAAATAGGAAAATAGCGCAGGTGGGGGGGACCCATTTGATCATCAGGGCGAACCAGTTCATTCCCAGCTGATCGTCGGAGCTACCAGTTTGTCCGAACCGGTCCGAACTGGTAGAATCCCACCACTGCTTTCCCTCCATTTGCTTAATGTCCTGGGAGATCATTTAATGACTACAACTGGGAGTGCAGGGATTGCAGTTATTGAGCAAAGCAGTCACACGGGCATCTTGCTTAATGATTGCTTCACTCAAAGACCAAGATTCCAGTCCAAACTGTACTCAAAAATTGAGGATTACTTGTGCAGATTTATTATTAGTCTAAGATAAATTCTCTTGATTTTGACATAATACCGTTGGCCCTTTTTCTAATGATGTCCTTCCAGTTTGTTTCCTTTAAAATCTAATTCCCAATTATTCTTTCCCCCCACAATGTCAGTTTATTAAGTGCTAGCAAAATACTACAGAAAATGTTTAATGTTAGTTTTGCTTTGTGATAAGGAAATGAAGACTCCAATCTGTAGTAACAATGTTAACATCACATCTCAGCAGAAATATCAGTTTGAACATAGAGGACTGGGAAATACTGTTTTCGTATATTTATTTCTCTTAGGTGCTATATTATTAATTTATTCTATTAAGTGCTAAATTAATTCTATTAAGTGCTACAATTATTTTTAAATTTTAAAATCGTTATCTGTCAGTTCAGCTGCTTTTATCTTCCTGATTTATTTCGAAAGGAATATCTCCAAAGCCGGCTGATTCTATTACAAAATAAAAAAATAACTATTCTCAATAAACCTGGAAATTCACAGGTTGCATAAAATACCTACATGGATTTGAATCACTCGATACAAAATTCTCAGCCAGAACCAACATACAGAAAGCGATATATAGAATAAAATGAATTCCAGCTCTTTAGTCTTAGCATTATTAAACACAAGACAGGTTGGTAAAATCAATTCAAATCAGACCAGAGGATTCTCTACCCTGCTATCAGATTATAAAGCAATCTAGTTTTAGATTACTATATTTTTCCCTTCCATCACACCAGTTTATAGACATATGAGACATGCCAGTTGTTAATATCCATTCCCAGGGCCTTCTTGCAGATATCCTTATATTGCAGCTATAGTCTCCCTCTGAGGCGCTTTCCCTGCACTAATTCTCCATTCAGGAGATTTTTCTGAATCCGACCATCAGCCTTTCTCACGACATGCCCAAGCCAGCGTAGACATTGACCTCCGATCGTTCAGCTTGGAGGCTAAAGACGCAGCATGGCTTTCTCCAATTCGAAGAGACACTTGTTTGGCAGGCTGAGGCAAAGAGGCAGTCCCGGATCCAGCGAAATCTGGGGGGTGGGCAGGGGACAGAATGTATCTGCCCTCAGTGTGGAAGGGATGGCCACTCTCGAATTGGCCTTTTTAGTCACACCAGATGCTGTTTTAGGACCTCTTTCCAGAGCACGATACCATAGTCTCTTGAGACTGAAGGATGCCAATGGAATGGAGATATGCCAGATAACACAAGTCCTATTACTTCTCAGACCTGAACATAGAAAGCACGGTTTAATTTCTTCATAAAGAAAAAGTCAGATACTGCTGGAATTAAAACGGGACTGGCTGTTTCAACAGAACGGTCCCGATAACTCAAAAACGTTCAGTTTGAGGTAGCTTTAAACTAATTGATCAGTTGTTCAGCTTCCACTATTAATGTCATAGGAATGTTTGTATAAGCTTTTTCAGTACAGCAACCCAAAACCTTTTTAAAATTCCAAGTAACATCTGTGCTGCACTCAATGAGGTTTTATGGCTTACTTCAGCCTGGAATTACTGCTCATCTGTTTGAACTTAATTAGAATAGAGTTATCCATCATCCACATGGCTGTGGAGTTACTCTCTTCCTGAACCACAGCCTTGCTCTATCATTAAAATGAGTACTATATATTTTCCTGCTTTTCAGTTCTATCCTCCCCCAAGAGCACAAATAATTTCCCCTTCAATTACAAGTAAGTTTACAGATTCAACTGGGATGGTGCTGGTCTAATTTCAAAATATATTTCAAATATTTTTTAGGCTCCTTTTTAATATAATGAGTCTTATAAAAAAACAAAAGATGCAAGAACATTAAAGAACAGGCTTGCCAATATTCAGCCCCTCACTAAGCCCCTCCTTAATTCAGGGGAGTCCATATAATACAATAAATTTGGGTGGCTATATAAATTGAATAAACAAGCAAACAAACAATAAAAGAACTGCATCGCAGCTAGAAGAAATTAGAAACAAATGGATCTTTGAAGCCTTAAGGGAAAAATAAAGCCAATTTTCCCTTGGGATCGAGCTGCACAATGAAGGGGACGTGACTGAAAAGATTAATTTTCAACACCTACCAAATGCTTAATATTATACCCACAAGTCAACTAACATGTCTCTAATACCGATTTTAAACCCTGGGAAGTTTATTTACTTCCAGTAAAAAGAAATCGAGGTGTGAAGTTTCTGAAAGATGCTCTAATTAATTCATGAGCCATGAGCCAAACTTCAAAAGAAATACAGTCATTATTAGGAGCACCATTTTGGCAATATTTGGATGCAGTTAGAACTAATCCCACGTAGATTTATGTTCCCCTATGACCCTATCTCTCCCCTCCTCCCTGGCCATGTCATAAATCACATTCTCCAATTAACCACTTTGGCTGGCTGTGAAACCCAAAGCTCTCCTACTGATTGCGGTATAAAGGCATCTGTGGAATGTAGTTTCAGTTAGGGAAATCAATCAGCTCCATCAGTTCTCCCTCCCTCCTGCTCATGGCAACTTGAAAGCTTTGCAAATTGACATCAAGGTTAATACAGGTAGGTAGGTATATGATAGGGCAAAAAGAAAACATTTACGCATGCTAGTTTTCTAGAAATAAGATGATTTAGATTTAGTATTTGCAATCTAGAGAGATACAAATACAAGAAACATCATTTAACAAAATCTTACACCGTGGTGGTGGAAATGGTTAGAATGCAGTATTGCAGGCTGACTCTGCTTACTGCCAGGAGTTCAATCCCAACCGGCTCAAGGTTGACTCAGCATTCCATCCTTCTGTTGGAAGGAAAATCCATCTGGTTCAGTTTCAAGCTGGGAGAAAGACGCTGGAAATAACATGGAGGCTGATTGGAAAGAAAGACTCTGTTTATTGATGAACAGAAGCACAGCATGCAGTTCTGGGACAGCTGACCAAATGGTTGAATGAGTGGATGGATCTTTATAAGTAACACTGAAGTTTGAACTGTTCCGGGGGGGGGTATTGTGCAATGAAGGGGCTTGTGTCTTTTGCTAAATGATGGTGGGTTCATCCTATTAATGTCCTGAAGGGTCATGTCCTGTCCTTTCTTAATCCCATCGCCCTGGAGCTGAAAATGTTTTGTTTATGAAGGATTTCTTAATGGGCCCCAAACCTCCATCTCTAAAGATTTCTGCAGGAAGCTGTTTTACTATGCAGGAAATTGGGGCTGGAGCACGTTTCTCCATTTCTCCCTTTGGGAAAATATAATATTCTGCTTCTTTTAATATTCCCCAAAATATTTCATTATTCAAGGGTTGGGGGATGGGGCTTCCCACACTTCCGAGGTTGGGAAAAGGAGAATCAAGATTGTTGGGGATAATATGCTTACTCTCTAAAAACCACAGAGAGTGCTGTAAAGCACTATGAAGTGGTATATAAGTTTAAGAGCCTTGGTACTACAGTGGTTTAAAGCACCCTGTTATTAACACAGCTGCCTGCAATTTACTGCTGGTTCGAATCTCTCCAAGGCTCAAGGTTGACTCAGCCTTCCATCCTTTCTAAAGGTAGGTTAAATGAGGACCCAGTTTGTGGGGGCAATAAGCTGACTTTGTATAAATATACAAAAGTATGAAGGCTATTGCTTAACGCACTGTAAGCCGCCCTGAGTCTCCGGAGAAGGGCGGCATATAAATCAAATAATAAAAAAAAAAAGTGCTACTGCTAATGTGTGCCCTAGTACCAAACTAATAAGAGTGCATGCTGAACTTTTAATAGAGCAGGGGTCTCCAACCTTGGCAACTTTAAGACTTGTGGACTTCAACTCCCAGAATTCCTCAGCCAGCTTTGCTTTGCTGGCTGAGGAATTCTAGGAGTTGAAGTCCACAAGTCTTAAAGTTGCCAAGGTTGGAGACCCCTATAATAGAGTACATGCTTGAACTTTGAAAAAAAGGATCCATTTTGCAGTGTTTACTGGTATCTCTCTCTCTCTCTCTTTTCACCATCTTCCTAAGGCTGCATTCCATTGCTAATTGTACACCGGATTCATGTATTTCACTAACCGTAATGTGCTTTGCTATGAATAGAATAAAATAGAATAACAGAGTTGGAAGGGACCTTGGAGGTCTTCTAGTCCAACCCTCTGCCCAGCAGGAAGCCCTACACCACTTCAGACAAATGGTTATCCAACATCTTCTTAAAAATTTCCAGTGTTGGAGCATTCACAACTTCTGCAGGCAAGTTGTTCCACTTATTAATTGTTCTAACTGTCAGGAAATTTCTCCTTAGTTCTAAATTGTAATTGTAAATGAATTGTAGTTTGTTGTGATAAAGCAGTTTTTGGCCTACTGAAACCCCGCTCAAACCAACACATTTCACAACTTAATCCAAGACTGCTACAAATGGAAATTTCAACCCAGTAAGGTCGATTAAATTGCAGTTTACGGGTAATTCTAGGGTGTTTGTCAGCTAACTTTTTCCAGTCCGGAACAGGTATGTGGCTAATTACAATGCTCTTAAGAGATGCGGGATGAATAGGTTTTGTGGCTAATGAAGAATTAAATCTAATAAAACCAGCACAGAGAAAAATTCCCCATGAGACGCATCCCATTATGTTGCACAGGCCATCTTTTTTCAATCAATAATTTATAGCTCCCTTGAAAAACTGATGTTGCAATGGAAATGCTGACAGACCATTAATTACCACATAGCCTGCAAAGTATGACAGAAACCTAATTGTCCAGATTTGCTCAAATATATTATACCACTCAGCTGAATAACGGTCACTTGCTGCAACGAGCATGTAAATTGTGTAAGAAACCTGTTGCTTAATCTACGAGCTGCTGGCCAGGGAATTTTACAGCCAATATCATATTTGATTTCCTTTCCGGACACAAATTAAATACCACAGCAGCACTTGCCAAAGAAAGAGTGATGGAATAAGAGTATAGGATCACTTTAAGCACAACTCTCTTGAATTTAAAAAAAAAATGCTCCTGAGGCAGCATTTTCCAAAATTTTTATGACAGCTAAGTGAGATGTACTAAGAACTGTCCACTTTATTTACAGCATTTCATTTTGCTGGTTCTTTCTCTCTTGGGACTGGAAGCTAAAACATACGAAGAACGACTGCAGGAATTGGATCTGCCTAATCAAATGAAAAGAAGGACTAGGGGTGACATGATAGCAATCTTCCTATATTTAAGGAGCTACCACAAAGAAGAGGGGGGGGTCAACCTCTCCTCCAAAGCACTTGAAGACAGAATAAGAAGCAATGGATGGAAACTAATCAAGGAGAGAACCAATCTAGAACAAAGAAATTTCCTGACAGTGAGAACAATGAATCAGTGGAACAGCATGCCTCCAGAAGTTGTGAATGCTCCGACACCGGACGTTTGGAAGAAGAGATTGGACAGCCATTTGTCTGAAATGGTATAGGGCAGTGATGGCTAACCTTTTTTTCCTCGGGTGCCGAAAGTGTGCACTAGCGCGCAATAGCGCACATGCCCACTCTCATAATGCAGCTGCCCTGCGCATGTACGCCCCCCCATCCCATTTTGGGCCTAGCAGGCCTCCCTGAAGCTTCCAGAAGTTGGAAACGGCCCATTTCCGGACTTCCAGTAGTTCCAATAGGCTCATTTTTCGCCCTCCCCAGACTCAGGAGGCTTTTCATGGAGCCTCCGGGAGGGCGAAAACGGCCTCCCCTGGCTCTCCAGGGGCCAGAAAAAGCTCGTTTCCGAACTTTCAAGCCAACTTTTGCACTCTCCTTCCTACATGGAATATATTTTAATAATTTAACAATCAGAATTTAAAATCTCATCAAAGCCAAAGAAAGTTCTGCTTTTTTAAATATATAATTTGTACACGGATTATTACTGCACACTATATTCTTGGTAGTTAAGCTATACACTTTAAGTTCTTTGTACAGGAGTCCCTACCCTAACCCAACACAAGAAGATCAAGAACCACTCAGCTCAGTATTATTGAAATTAACCAGTTTATGCCTTGGCACAATATGTGAACTAGGCATTTTGGGATTTATTTTTTAAGTAATAAAACAGGAAAATATTTTAAAAATAAATAAAAGAAACAATAGTTTGCCTATCATGTAAAAATGATAAAGGCAGAATACAAATAAATAAATAAAATCAATATTACTGTTCATATACTGAAATCACGATGTTGATTCTCACAATATTTTGTAACTTAAACAAAGGCTCAGTTTTCTCTTCACACTACATCACAAACCAGAAAGCTTCATTTCAATTCACATTATGACTCTAGTCACTGACTCATAAAATGTTTCCTAAGATTTCAGACTTTTAAAAAACAGAACTCAGAATCTACTGCAAGGCTAGCAACAGATCTCCTAGGGGTCTATTGAATTTGAAAAGAACACTGTAGATGGAGATGAATATCTCCATATCCAACATAGAAACTCTATTCACACACCAAGTCATTTTTACTTAATTGATTCAACCATACTTTGCCTGAATTCATACACATCATCCAAACGGTTCATGGTTCTCAATTGCAGCAGGTATCCCCTCATAATTATAGGAATCACAATAAAATCTACATTGAAAGCAAATACAACACAGGACAGCTTAGGACCTGTATACTGCACGAGTCAAAAAGAGGGCCGTGAAAATATTTACAGACCTCTCACATCCTGGACATAAACTGTTTCAACTCCTACCCTCAAAACGACACTACAGAGCACTGCACACCAGAACATCTAGACACAAGGACATCGAATGCCATCACTCTGCTAAATAAATAATTTCCTCAACACTGTCAAACTATTCACTGTCTGCATTACTATTAATCTTCTCATTGTTCCCACCACCCATCTCCTCCCACTTATGACTGTATGACTGTAACTTTGTTGCTTGTATCCTTAAGATTTATATTGATTGTTTCCCTATGATCATCATTAAGTGTTGCACCTTATGATTCTTGACAAATGTATCTTTTCTTTTATGTACTTTGAGAACGTATGCACCAAGACAAATTTCTTGTGTGTCCAATCACACTTGGCCAATAAAGAATCCTATCCTATCCTATCCTATCCTATCCTATCCTATCCTATCCTATCCTATCCTATCCTATCCTATCCTATCCTATCCTATCCTATTTTTAGCAAATTGTGAAGAAATCCATGGGACTGCCTTATTGTCCTGCCATAATCCACATTTCTTGAAAGTAGTACTGCTGCAGGCTCCTTAGTACATTTACAGCCTGCTTTCACTACTAGTCTGGCTGATACGGACTATGGGGAAAAGGTTAGCAATACAAATAATATAGATTCTATATTATTTGTATTGCTAATCTTTTCCCCATAGTCTCTATTACAGAGATACAGTTTGATGTAATGGTGAAGGTGCTGGCCTAGAAACCAGGGCACTTGTGAATTCTAGACCTCCCTTAGATATGGAAAGCCAGCTGGGGGGACTTTGGGCCAGTCCCTCTCTTAGCCCAGTCCACCTCACCAGGTTGTTGATATGGAGAAAATAGTTGGAAGGAAAGAATATTAGGTATGTTTATTGCCTCGAGATAGATAGGACAAAATAAGTAATGCATAAATGCAATCAAGGCCAGAACTGAAAAAAACCCCCACCATTAAATCATTCAAAATGCAGACTGTACAAAGAACTCAAAGCAACAGTAGCTCATATACACAGATCCTGGAAAAAAAAAAGTTCAGCCAAACTGTCAATAACAAAGTTGCCAAACGGATTCATCTGCAAAAATGATCATGTGCCAACAGTAAAAAAAAAAATATCGGTGGGAATGTATAGTTGAAATAACTGTGCTTGGGGGGGAAAAAAGGAAGTGTAGATAATTGATGCAATATCAGAGGATGTGAAAACAGAAGTCCAAGAATTGGAGAAGTTCACAAAGTTATCAAGATCTTCTAGATTATGGCATAAAACCAGCCACGGTGGTCCCAGGGGTTTTCAGTACACTGGGTACCACCATGCCCCCCCAAAAATCCTGTGCGTGACAAAAATCCCCATCTGTCAATTGCAAAAAGGGCACCCTGGTTGGCTCCGTAGGACAGGGGTCTTCAAACTTGGCAGCTTTAAGACTTGTGGACTAGATAAGATTTAAATTTGATGAAGTAATAATTAAATAAAGACTTAATGAATATTATCTGAAGTAATAATAAAACGTAAGTAAGTTCTAGAAATGGAAATAAGATTTAGAAACAAACATGTTTGAATTGTATTTTTAATAGTGAATTTGGGATAAGAATTGTGAAATGTATTATAAGGTATTAATTGAATTAAGATTTAAAATGGATTAATAGATGGGTAATTGTTTTGATTTAAGTTAATATGAGTTAAGTTTTCTATAAGACGGTAATAGTTGAGATATGTGATTAAGCGTTATGGCAAACATAGCATATATAAAATTCTGTTAAAGATGAACAAAAAGTTGAACAAATTTATGACTGGATCAATGCTCTGTTCCGAAAAGATGTATTGCATGTTTATTTGTGTGTTGTTTTTTTTATTTATTTATATGCCGCCCTTCTCCGGAAACTCAGGGCGGCTTACAATGCATTAAGCAATAGCCTTCATCCTTTTGTATATTTATACAAAGTCAGCTTATTGCCCCCACAAACTGGGTCCTCAATTTACCTACCTTTGAAAGGATGGAAGGCTGAGTCAACCTTGAGCCTGGTGAGATTCGAACCTGCAGTAATTGCAGGCAGCTGGTCTTAATAACAGGGTGCTTTTAGACCACTGTACTACCAAGGCTCTTTTAAAAAATAAAAAATAAAAAATCCCCCCCCCCAAAAAAGACTTGTGGACTTCAACTCCCAAAATTCTCCAGCCAGCATAGCTGCAGCCAGCATAGCACAGCTGGCTGGAGAATTCTGGGAGTTGAAGTCCACAAGTCTTAAAACTGCCAAGTTTGGAGACCTCTGTCCTAGGTTCTTGGGCAGCACGAGACACGCGGCAGCTGCGATCTCGCATTGCTGTGCATAGAATAATAATAAAAACAACCTCATCACAATGCAATTTGCGATTGATGCCTGTCTAGAACACAAACCCCACTTCGGGTCAAAAAGGGAAGCTAAAGCTTTCTCCGCTTACTGTAGGACCTGAGCCGGCTCTCCGTGCTTCTCATAGACCAGTCCTCGAGGCCCCGTTGGCGTCGCTGCCGCGACTGACCGAGCGCAGAAGCCGTAACCGAAAAGGAGCCGCAGGGCTCGAACCCGCGATCCTCCGACTACCGCCATGCCTAATAAGCAACAATCGCTAAGAGTCCCGCGGCGCGGCGGGGATGACGACACGCCACTTTACCCGGGCCGTTTAAATGTACGTCATCACAGCACTGAATTAACGCACTGGCTCCGCCCCGATCCCGCTCTTCCGCGTGGTGGCCCCGCCCCCTCGGTCCTAACAGCGATGGAGAAGTTTTGATGGAAGTGAGATGCTGTGTTGCCTGCACATATACACACACACAATTTAATAAATAAATATAGATTTGTTATTAAAATGTATTAATTTATTATATTTATGTATTATAAATATAATAAATCAATACATTTATTAGATAGAGTATTATATTATTATTATTATTTATTGAATTTCTATACCGCCCTTCTCCCAAAAGACTCAGGGCGGTGAACAGAATAAGATTTCATATACATAGAATAATTTTTTTTTATAAACAGTAAATAATAAATTGAGTCAACTATATAATCAATATAATCTATCTATCTATCTATCTATCTATCTATCTATCTATCTATCTATCTAATCTATCAAGTGAGTATATATATTCTGCGCTTGTATGCCCTCATCAAATTCTCTGACTGATTTACAGTAACAGGAAAGAAATCAGTAAAATAATGCAACCGTAAATCACAACCTATAGCGCCTGGTGTGGTTATTTCCGTGCATAAGGAAAACAGCCTCTTTATACCGCAGCAAGATGTTATTAAATGAAAGGGAACAAAGTTTTATGGTGTGCTCGCAGTAGCAACCTATCATAATAACTGACAAACCTAAAACGGAAATGCAAGGGTAATTGCAAATACAAGAATATAGACAGCAGCAGGCGCGTTTCAGCAGAGAAAGAAACGGACGGTCTCTTGCTGTAGCGATATTTTAATTAAATTAAACCAAGTTCCGGGGTGACTTCCAACAGCCGAACAATAAAGCGCAGCCATAAACACAAGAACGTATCAATAGCCGCAGAGAATGAAAACCGCATCCCAGAACAGCAATATTATTACAAGTTACTTAACACCGTGGTGCACCTTTTAAAAATAAACCTTTTAGCCTTAGTTAAAAGTATCCTTCCCCTGAGTAGTTGCTTGGTGTGGTTACCATATTTGGAGTAACAAATAGGCGAATTTTATCTCCAACTCAAATTGTCAAAAAAGCAATTTTATAAAGGGTTCTGGACTGTCAGTCGGAACAACTGTCCAAAATCAGAATAAAACAGAGACTGATTTTGGTATGGTGGGAGAAGCCAACAAAAGACAGATTGAGTTCAAACATGGGCTGTTCAGAAAAAGAAACCCAGATCAATGGTAAATGATTTTGTATGCCACAGACTGCATGGCAATTTTGGGAGTTCTCCATTCTAAGCTTAATAGTCTAGGTATTCTCTAATACCTTATGCAAAAGGAAAAAAATACCATCTACTTTTGGCCTGCCATACATCGTTTTATAAACAACTATTCCTCTTATTCTTATTTTGTTCTGACCTAAATAGTTCCAACAGTCTCAAATTATCTTACTTTGGACACATTATACAAAGACCCAGCTCTAGAAAAGCCTCTAATACTCGGAAAAATGGAACGAAAGAGAAGAGGGCTACTAGCAGCAAGGTGGAGTGACTCAGTTTCAGAGGCCATGGGAGCATTGTTGGAAGACCTAAAGGCTCATGTTGGAAGAAATGTCCATCTGGGTTCAGTTCCAAGTGGGGAGAAAGACACTGGAAACATGGAAGCTGTTTGGAAAGATGGCCCTCTCTTGGGCCCCGCCTTGGAGCTTCCTCATCCTGTGTAAGAAATGTACTCTAATTGGTTGTCAGTCTCCCATGGGGCCATGCAGGGCTAACTTTGTAGGTTGTCTTGAGTCCCAGGCTTGGTTGAATCTTGTAGGGTGATGTAATGAAGGGCTTTGGGCAATTGCTATTATGGTTTAATGGCTTTGTCCTGGTTTGGATCTTGATGAGTGCTAATCCTATCATCCTGGAGCTGAGTCTTTTGTAGATAAGATGGCCCAGTCTTTTGTCTTGTAGATAGGATGGCACCAGTCTTTCTGGGGCTATTGAGAAAGGTGGGGGCTGTTAAGAGTGAGGCTGCTTCCTGGCTAAAAAACATGTTTCTCCATTTCTCATCCAGGGAAATATAATATTCTGCCTTTTTAATATTTCCTAGAATATTTCATTCTTCTAGGAGAAGGGTGGGTGCTAAGTTTCTACACTCAGGTTAGGGATAGATGGTCATGGAGAAAAACTATCCAGCAGGTTTAGTGGTTGAAATTGACTTGATGGCACACAGTCAATGTAACAAAACACAAATACAGGTAGACTTACAACAGTTCATTTAATGACTATTCGAAGATACAATGGCACTGAAAAAATGACTTAAGACTTTTTTCTACACTTACAACTGTTGCAGCATCCCCATGGTCACGTGATCAAAATTCAGATACTTGGCAACTGACTGGTATTTAGGACGGTTGCAGTCTCCTGGAGTCATGTGATCATCTTTTGAGGCCTTCTGACAAAGTCAATGGAAAAGCCAGATTCACTTAACAACCGTGTTATTAATTTAACACCTGCAGTGATTCACGTAACAACCGTGGCAAGAAAGGTCATAAAATGGGGCAACACTCACTTAACAAATGTCTCACTTAAGAACAGAAATGTTGGGCTCATTATTGTGGTCGTAAGTCCAGGACTACCTGTACATTTCCAAACCATCAGTTTTCAAACAGAGGCTAGTTCTGCCCTTTGGTTTTGCTTTTCTTTTGGGGATTTTTTTCCCGACAATTTTTCCAACATTCTTGGCGACCAGAACAGTATTTTTTTTCTGAGATTGGTCAAAATGTAGATTTAAACAAAGCAGGGGAAATTATGCAAAGCATTATGGTGTCCATAAGAAGGTTTGACAGTTTTGTGTAAGAAATAACTTGCAGCTGTGTGTGCTTGTTTCTCCATTAAATTGTGTCTGGATATGTCTGTGTTTACTGGGCTATATAAGCTACTATAGGTTTCCATCCTATTCCCCATAGCTATAGATGGTGGTATTCCGTTGGGTAAGCCCATTCCAGTCCAAACCAGGAATAGATTTGCATTTCCAGTTAGCATTCCCTGGAATGGTTGAAACCAGGATTCCTTGGTGCTCTCTGAGCTTGGTTATTTTCTTGCAGACGATTCATTATCCAAATTAGAAAGCATCACCAGTGATGTAATGTTATCTGGTTTGGGTAATGAAACATCTGCAAGAAAACACCCAAGCTCAGAGAGCGCTAAGAACCCCTCATTCCAACTCTGAGCTACAACTATTCCTCTTTATTGTTGAAACCAACCAACAACAGATACAGTAATTGTTTTTAAGTTCTCTTACTGCTAATTGGACATCATGATTGTTCTATAGAAGAGTGTTTCTCAACCTTGGCAGCGAGCTGACTGGGGAATTCTGGGAGTTGAAGTCCATACATCTTAAAGTAGCCAAGGTTTGAGAAACCCTGTTCTATAGTCTTCATTCGCAGAAAGCCATCAAATGTACAGTAGTCAGGGTGAAACAGAGATTGGGTTTTTCTGTTTCCTGATCGTGTTATGTGAACCCCCTCCCAGACCTTGAAAAATGGATCATTTATCTATTTATTTCCATTTGTAGTTGCTCTGCTAGAAATACCCTGGGAGAGATTACACATGCCTGCTATTTCATGGTGTTCCATTTTTGGACTTTTCCTTATCAGGGGAAATCAACTGCCGACTTGCATCAAAAATAGCAATACATTTCAAGGTCCCAATCTGAGTTGCTTGTGCTCAAGCCCAAGCATTTCCACTCCTCTCGCCTAAATAAATATATAAATAAATAAGATGGATGAGCTCCAGATGTTCGGAAGAAGCCGAGTTATTGCTGTGGTTAAAATCTTGCACTTAGTAATTTTCTGACTTATCTGTAAAATATGAAACATTAATGACCTCTTTTGCTTTAATGTAAGTTCATAAACACATCATTTTCATAATGCCTCTAACTCTGCTGCATGCAAATGTGCTACTTTCTTTGGACCAAATGAAGCCCATTAGCAGAACACTCAGCACCAAGAAGTTTTTTTTAAAAAATGACATTCTGTTGAAATCTTGCTTTGCTCTTCTGCATATAATAGGCAGAAAATGGTGCAAAGGAATGCTGTATTTATGCAAAATGGGCTCCTAGCATGCAAGCTTCATAGATCAGCAGCTGGGTTCACATTTAAGCCTACAGCGTAGCCTACTTAGTTACTTCAGTAAGCTTTACTGAATAATCCAGAATAATCCAAGTTAGCCTTGGACAACTCTGTTGATATGCCTAGCTTGGTTCATCCATATGCAAAGTCCAAACTGAAGAAGCCTGTAATGGTTGGTTCCCAGACGGATCTTCATCCAGTAGAAGAGGGATGGTGGATCAGTGACTTAATGATGATGGACATGGTCTGGTCCAGCGGTTTGAGTGCTGGCACTGTGTGGCTGGGTGAGATCCTGTAACTTGCCTCAGTTTCCCACCTACTAGTTGGAAAGTATGTTCTATGCAAGTAGATAAGTAGGTACCACTTTGATGGGGAGTCGAGTTGGTTCTTTCTTTCTTTCTTTCTTTCTTTCTTTCTTTCTTTCTTTCTTTCTTTCTTTCTTCCTTTCTTTCTTTCGTCAAGCATGTATTAGATAACAGATATAAGTATAAACATAACTATGAATACATGAAATGGATATGAATAAGAGGGAACATTAGGACAGGGACAGTAGACATGATGGTACGCTTATGCACGCCCCTTAAAGAACTCTTAGGAATGGGGTGAGGTCAACAGTAGACAGTCTAAGGGTAAAGTTTTGGGGGTTTGGGGAAGAAACCACAGTCAGGTAGTGCATTCCAGGCGCTGTCAATTCTGTTACTGAAGTTATATTTTCTGCAATCAAGTTTGGCATGGTTTACCATAAGTTTGTATCTT